CAGCTCACACATGGCCACTGGCCCAGAGGCAGGTCCCCAGTTACCAGCTACAGAGCAGCCCTCAATCCAGGCAGTCCCTCCAGAGGACTGCAAGTTCCATTTTCCACGTTGTCCATGCAGCCTGGCTTTAGGAAAACCTAAATCTTTAGCAAGTCCCTGGGGAAGGTCTGTCTGCCCAGCTCCTTCGCTGATGGCTTGGCTCTGCATCAGTAAGACAGGCCAGCTGTTGCCTGCCGAGGTCCTGAGCACTTACACCAGAAGTAGAGGCGGAGGATGTGGTCAGGGGAAGGGCTGGGCCAGCGGGGCTGCGAGTCCACGCTGGGGACCAAGGTCTACAGATGGCATCCACAGGGAGCATGCACTCAACTCTGGGGAGACCTTCCTCTGTCCACGGCCTACAGATGCATCTGAGTAGGGCATGCTTCTGGTCCTGCTGGTGGGTGGGAATGTTGAGAGAGGACGAGGACATGGAGCAGGGCTGGTCTTCACTCTCACAGCCACCTGGGAGTGCTAAGGTGTTGAGAGCCACTGCCGAGTCGGAATGGCCCCTGGCATTTTGCCAGAAGTAATGGTTGAGATGATGATAATTAAGTTAAGCTGTGTATAATTGCTGTGACTGGATGATGCTGGATTGAAACAGGCTGTGTATTCAGTTGTATATGGACCCCTGCTGTCCGGCAATAGGGCAGCTCCTGATGCCTCGGGAGACCTTTGAGTTCCTGTTGAGTTCCCGTTGAGTTCTCATGGAGCCCGGTGGAGGGCGAAGGAAGTTCCGGGGGAGGGAGTTCTGGTTGGTGTGTGGTGTTCCTGGAAGGGCCACGTGGGTGGTGTTCGCGGGAGTTCGAAAATAAAGTTTGTTCCTGCTTGAGTGGCTTGTGATCTGTGCCCAGCCAGACTGCGGCACTAAGGTCCTCGGCTGACAGAGCCCCAGAGCTCAGGACTTAGCAAGGTCCAGTGGACAGTGGGGATGGGGCCAGAGGCCAGGCAGGCCAACTCCTGAGCCCAGCTCTAAACCAAGACCTCTCCAGGGCTCGCAATGTGGCTTGGGAGAAGCCCTCAGGAGCCAGGCGGGCCCACAGCGTCAAGGCCCAGGTGTCCTGCGTGAGGCTACAGGGGCTCCTTAGGGTGCACCTCGGACGGATGTGACAGGCCTGGACAGACCCTTCCTCCCCCCACCCCCTCCCTCCCCCTTGCTGTGTCCCAGCCAGATGCTCTGTCCTGGCGTCAAGGGAATGCGGTCACCACAACAGCCTTGACCCTCAGGAAGCTCAAGGAAAGGCCTCTTCCCGGACCCCCACACAGAGGCAGGGCCCCTGCTGTCCCGTGGCTAATGTTCCCAAGCAAGGGGCGGACCAGGACAGACAGACATAAACGGACACGAGCGTTGCCCAGGCCTCTCTGTGCCTGAGCTGGAACCCTGCTGAGCCTGGAGTTAGTGCTGAACAAACAAGAGGACCAGCTCGCCAGGTCTGCTGCCCTGCTGGCCATGCCACCGCAGAGCGGTGTAGGCCTGCCGCGGGTGGAGCTGCCCTCGGGGAGCACCCTGACAGAACTCAGCCACAGTGGCACCGAGGGGTGGCCCATTTCCCTTGGAATCTCAGGATTTCCCAATGGCCCTGGCCAGTGGGCAATGGGAGACACTGCCCGTCCCTTGATTGAACTCTGCTGAGTTGTACGATGAGATCTGGGCCAAGGAGCATCGGCTAAACAAACTGGCCTGTCCTTGCTGGGAGGGGGCAGCAGAATGTCCAGCCCCCGCTTTGGAAGGAGCCCTCAGGATGGGGTGAACCCGGGCTTTGAGCCAAACCTGGCCTAGGCACTCCAGCCCCCAGTGTGGTCCAGCTTGCAGGTGTGAGGTCACACCACTGACACCCCAGGCCACTGTGGGCCGGGAACCAAAGTCCACGCTGTGGGGCTGCTGACTCTGGAATCACTCAACAGACACCCAGGGCTGGAAGGCGGTCAGTGTCAGCAAAGCCAGGTGTCCTCAGCTGCCATAGGGTGGCGACTCTCCAGACCCAGGAGGATGAGCCTGACCTGAGGCCCACCCTTCCTCCCTCGGCGCAGGGCACTCAGCTGGGTGGACAGCACTGGGGGGAGCCAGGGTCCTCACTGGCCGCTGTCTCATAGCTTTGTTGCATTAAATTTGAAGGAGAACACGGAGCTGATAATGTTGGCACAGTCACCATCCTGCCTGGGGTGGGGGGGCTGAGGCCCCTCAGGCTGCCGTGGACTAAGGCTGGTCCACTTAGTCTATTAAGGCCAGTCCGCCGGTTTCAGCTCACTGGAGTCCCCTCCTCTGTGCAGCTGTGCAGTGGGAGTGGACGGAGCCAGAGCCACCCTGGGAAGCACTGGGTCAGGGCCAAGCCACCTTCACAGGCAGACCACAAGGTGTCCCATGCCCAGGCCAGAGGGTCCCTGTGGCCTTGCCCAGCTGCACAGGCCCACTCCTGGGACAGCACTTCTTGCTCTCATTTTTCTGTTCCTACTAGGTGCCAGGTCGGGGACCTTATGGTGAAGGAGGGGAGGGACTAAGAAGGGCAGGAGGGGACAGAGATAATGAAATTGGACAGATGAGTGCGGAGGCCAGCTCCAGAGGCAGTAAGAAGACCACATGTTGGTTGGCATAAAAATGGCCTGGGGGCTGTGGACAGGGTCACTGGAGGGGCCTGCATGGACACTATTCAGAAGAGTGGGGTGGGGCTGGGAGGACAGCCGGGGCATCCTGAAGGGGCTGGTCAGCAGCAGGAGCAGGAGAGCTGGGGTAGCTGGGTGGGCTGTGTAGGGAATGTGGCTTCTGCAGCACAGGAGCCTTTGGAAGGCTCTGGGAACAGAAAGCTCTACTTCTAACTGTGCTGTCTGCCCACGCTAGGGGGCTGGCTCCTGGAGCTAGGGTGGGTGTCCATGTCCTGGTCCCCAGCGCCTGTGACTCTCAGACCTGGGAGTGCCCCTCTCTTGGTAAAGGAATTAGCAGGTGTGATTAAGTCAAGGACATGGAGGTGGGGGCTGTCCCCAGCTGTCCACTGTTCCACGTGGGCCCTCTTACGAGGAGGCGGAAGGTCTGGGTCAGCTGGAGGCTTGGCGAGGGAGGCAGAGGTTGGCTGATGTGCTTTGCAGGAGGAGGGAGGCACCATAGGCCAAGGACTCAGAAGCATCCAGAAGCTGGAAGAGGGATGGAAACGGAGCTCCAGGGACCCGGGTGAATCAGCCCGCCGACAGTGATCGTCAGCCTCTGACCCCAAAGCCACTACATTTGTGACAATTTGTTATAACGACAGCAGGAAACCACAAATAGCCAAATCAGACAGGGGGGTCCTGACCACTGTCACCGTCCACCTGGCTCCTGTCGGTTGAGTACTTGAGGCCAGACCACCCACATCCTGCGGTTTTGCTGGACTCTTGCTAGAGTTTTTCCCGCGTCAGCAGCACCATCACTTCCCACGGCTTCTCCTTGTTACAGATTTTTAAAACAAAGGAGCGGTCACCCTGACGACCCTGCAGAAAGACAACCGGCTCACGGCCCCCAACCTGGAGGCTGGAGCAGCTCGTGGCAGGAGCCCAGGGCTGGCTTGGAACCACTGAGTAATGCGTGATAAAGGACAAGATCACAGATGCCAAGGGTCCGCCTCTCAGCACTGCAGGCTGAGACCAGGCTGCCCACTTGGGGGCTCTCCTCGGGGTGGCACGGCCCCACATGCTCCCCTCTTGTTCTCTGTGCCTGTGCCCAGGCTCCCTCGAGGGTCTCTGGGGAGGAAGGAGCACCTGCCCTGGAGAAGCTCTGCACCTGCCCCAACTCCTCAGTGTGGCCAGCACAGGCCGCGCCCTCCTGCCAGGTGAGGAGGAGCAGGACACTCGGGAGCCTGGCTGTCCTGCTGCTCATTTGCTGGCCCGATTCCGCGAGTGCACTGATGCGCACTAGCGGAGGGGACAGGGAGCTCGCTGCTGAGCGAAGGCCAGGAGACGGTACAGGATCCTCTAAGAACCAGGACCAACAGCGGAGCCTGCAAGACCTTGCAGCAGGGAGTGACACCGCAGGCTGGAGAGGGCTGGGGAGGAAGGCCTGGGGTCTGAGTGCCTGCCACGCCTCCCACGTCCGCACAGGCCAGGGGGCTGAGAGGGGTCAAGAGAAGTTCTGGGACCTTATTTGGTCTTTGCAGATGTGATCAAGGGTCTCAGATGAGATCATCCCCGATCCCCCGGGTGGTCCTAAATCCAGTGATAAGTGTCCTTATAAAGGACATTAGAGGGTGAGAAAAGGGGAGGCCAGGTCGAGATGGCGCAGAGGCTGAACGAGGAGCCCGGGGCCTCCGGTAGCTGGAAGGCGGGGAAGGATGGTCCCCTGAGCTCAGGAGGAGCGCGGCCCTGCCACTCGCTGATCTTGGACTGGGAGAGAATGAACCTCTACTGTTGGAAGTCACTCAGTTGGTGGCACTTGGCTATGGCAGCCCCAGGCACTCGGGTTGGGGGAAGGGAGGTAGAGGAAGGTCCCCCAGTGCTCTGGTGCTGGAGGCTCCCATTTGAGCTTCCCAACTTTCTAGAATCTGGGACTCTAGAAGGTCTCAGAAAGAGGACCTGCTTGAATTTGTCTCTGTGTCCACCACCTTGTCTGGCCTTTGGCTGGTTCTCTCTGCCATGGGTCTCTGGGCACCAGCTCTGCTTGACAGTGGGCAGACTTGGGGACGCACCATCCAAGAGGGATTGTCCCACCCACATGGAGGTGCTGCTGGCCTGAGAAGCCATCCCCTGCCCTCTCCCCAAGATGGAGGCCCCCGCAGCGCCCCCTCCCGCTAGGGTGAGGACAGCAGCCCTGTGGGTCACCCCAATCAGCAGTGGACTTGCGGCTGCCCCCGCTGGGTTCACTGTCACTAGGGAATGATTTCCCAAAGGACGTGTCCGTCTCACAGTGGGATAAGTAGCTGGCGACTTGGGAACTTCTGTGAGCTCACTTGATTGAGTGACTTCTGACTCAGATTTTGCTCTGCGCGTTCATAGCTGCCACCCGAGGAAATGAAGCGCCTGGCTCGCCTCAAACGCCACCTCACCCCCCCACATCCAATTAGCCACACGGCCCCAGCGACTCCCAGTGTTGGTGCCAGACAGACCAGAGATCAATTTTTCATGGGGCATCGGACTGTAAATGATTTTTCTATTTACTTATGTAACTCGTACATAAAAGATGATGGTGTTTAATCAAATACAGACCAACTGCAAATTATGCTAGGTAAACAGTGTGAAAAAATTCAATATGCCACTGACTGCTGATATGCACATACAGATCTGTGATTGAGATACATTTAAGAGCAGCCGTCTTGTCTGTGGGGTTAACCCTTTGTGCGATAGTTACACACTGCCAGGCCTTGGCTTGTGTTCCCGTCGGGCAGTGTTGAAACAGATTTTTGTTTAATCACTCACACACTCACTCCAGCGTCCCTGAGTTTCTGGAAGAAACTTCTAGAACCTCCTGGAAAGAGAAGCCCACACTTGCTTTGGTCTTTGCCCCGCAGCAGCAGCCTCTAAGACGGGTTCTCGATAGGCGAGATTCCCCGGGAGGTGTTTGGCAATGTGCAGAGTGCTGTCTGTTTCTCTGTTGTATCTGGGGGTAGAGGCTGGGGAGGTGACTCAACAAAGAACCCTCTGATCCAGAAACAGCAGTGGTACTCAGTAGAGACCTGGCCCTGTGCCATGTTGTGTGAGTGTAGACTGGGGTACGTGTGGGGACAGAAACCGACCCCGACTCAGCACTTCTCGGGGCTACAGGCACCTGCAGGTCCACTGCCCTGAGAACTTTTCTCAGCAGATGTTTCTCCTCTTTAGGACGCAGCCTAGGCACCCCCTTCAGGGACAGCCCCTCCCCACATGGGGGCTTGTATCCCCTGCACAGGATCTACACCCACTGGATCATACCCTTACCCCAGGACACTTGCTGGGCTATGATCTGCTCCCCCAGAAGCTCATGAAGACCACGGGGGACTTAAACCCACCTTGTTCATTTCTGTTCTCTCAGGAGCTTGTACAAGGCCCAGAGCCTGGTGGTTCTGGATAAATGTTTGCTCTCTGGCTGGCTGGCTGGCTGGATGGATAGATGGATGGATAGGTGAGTGGATGGTAGATGGGTGGATGGATGGATGATTGGGAGAGTGGGAGAGTAAACAGTTTGATAGATTAATTAATAGTGGGTTGATTGTTAGATGGATGGATCAATGGATTGATGGATCGATGGATGGATGGATGGAAAGGTGAGTGGATGGGTAGATGATGGTGGATAGATGGATGGATGGCTAGACGGCTGGCCGACTGGATGGATAGATGGATGGATGGGAGAGTGGGAGAGTAAATAGTTTGATAGATGAATTAATAGTGGGTGGATTGGTGGATGGATGGATCAATGGATTGATGGATGATAGGTAGGTAAGTGGATGGATGGATGGATGGATGGGTATATTGATAGACAGACAGATGGCCAGTGGGTAAGTCAGGAGACCTGACTATACTCTTTTGTCTGCTGCTATTGGCTGTAAGCCCCTCTGGAAGACAGTGTGGCCTGTGGGATCACTTGCCCACTTGAGGAGGAGTCCAGAGAGGGCACTGGTTTGTACTCAGTGTCGTGAAGCTCCTGGGAGTTCCCAGGGCCACCGCTGGGGACAGGCTGGAGGCCTGAGAGAAAGGTGGTCAGATACAAAGCCAGCCTCTGCAGAGAACCTTGATATCAGAAGGACACCCTAAGTTTTTAGTATAGCTCTACCTTAAATAATGCATGAGACAGGGTACCCGTGAGGCAGGGTACCCGTGAGACAGGGTACCCGTGAGACAGGGTATCCTAAACATCATTTGTTGTTTATCTGAAATTCAGGTTTAGCTTCCTGAAACTTCATTTGCTGAATCTGGTAGCCTTACCCTGGAGGCCTGGAGGGTGGGAGGGGTTTCCCGGGTTCTCTTACACCCCTCAGAACACTCTGATGTACAGTCTAAAACCTGCTGTCGGACACTATCCAGGCCCCAGGCTCTGCATAGACCTGGGGGCGTGAGGAGCTGGCAGGAGCCAGTGCCCCGGAGAGCAGGCAAGACCAAGGGCTGGCAGGCACTCCGCCTCCGCCCACCCGGCCCTATTGCGGGCTCCTGTCCCCGTCCCCCCAGGTCCCTGGCCCCTTTCAGCCAGTTCCCAGGCCTCCATGGGCAGAAGAGGACTTTGTGTGGAGCTTCCTGGGACAACTCTAACCCCCTGGACTCAGCTCTGCCGTGAGACAGAGAAATCAACCAGGACAAGCAGCAAGAAGCCCAGGGCGCAGGAGCCTTTGTTTGTGGATCTCGACCTCAGGGAGCAACGATGATTAAGGGATTAGATAGATCACTGGCCCCTGCAAGAGACCCAGCTGGGAGGCTGGGGTGTGGGGAAACAGCCTGAGGCCCAGCAGACAGATGGCACCTGTGGTCAGGGACAGGGCCAGAGTAGCAGAGGGGAGAGCCGCCCTCCTGCCTGTCCTCCCAGCAGGACACAGCTGACCAAGGCTTGGGGCTGGTGCCTCAGAGCATGTGTCCCCTCTGGCAGCCCCTGGGTTTCAGGGACCAAAGGCCTGTCAGGTGTCCCCACCTGGTAAATAGCCACAGAGGCCCTGCCCCACAGGGAGCTCTTCTAGGAAGCACCTGCTCCCTGCCCTTGACCCTGGGGCCAGGAGTCAGGGAGCTGGACACGCACTTGGGAGGGTCAGGGAGATTTTCCTGAGAAGGACGCTTCTTAGCCACGTGCTGAAAAACAAGGAGAGACTCCTAATAGAGGAGGAGAGGGGGCCAGCGGGCAGCAGGAGGCCTGGAGGAGGCCGGCAGCTGCCCGCGAGGGACGCTCCGACCTGCAGGTGCCCAGGGCAGGAGCAGGGGGGCACAGCCCCGCCTCTGGCTGCGTGGACGGCAGCCGCTGACTAGACTACGGGGTCAGGGGAGCCAGCACTTGAGAGAGTCCACCCATGGGGCCTTGTCTGGGCTAAGCTTCCAGAGGGACCCGCCCAGAGAATGGGGACCGCCCGCCCCACCTTTCAGCCTGGTGCAAGTGAGAGTCACCTGGCAACTTTGAGAGCTGGACACCAGGCCACACCAGGAGGCTGGGGTGGCATCCAGGTGGTGGCAGCTCTCAGGGCTCCTGGGAATTCTGAAGGAAAGCTGTGGCAGGGACCCTGAGGCCAGCTGGCACTGACCCAGGGCTGGCAGCTGCCTGTCAAACAGTCCGGCCAGCAGATGCTGCGAGCGCCTGGGCTTCTCCTCCTGGTAAGGCTCAGGCCTCTCCTGGCTGAGGTCTGCACAAGGCCAGCCAAGGTGACCTTCAATTGGGGCATTAGGGGCCTGGACACCCTGATTGTCTTTCCAGCAGGACACAGCTGCCTGGCATTGTCCCTGGCACTTGGGCTGGAGGCAGCCGTCAGTCTCGGTGTGTGTTGGACTCCTCTCTCCTATCCTGGGACTTAGTGGCCTTTCTCTGCTGAGTTGCGGGCAGTGGGCAGTGAACTGGACCCTGGGGTTCGGCTTGGCCTGCACAGACACAGCAGGCCCGGAGCCCCGCCAGGTGCAGGTCCACGTCAGTTTCTGCAGCAAGAGGTAAGGTGGGATTAGCAGCACCAGCGAAGTTCTCCAAAAATAGACTTAATAACAGCTGCCGGGTGCCATCATTATTTTTCTTGGGATCTTAAAAATTCCTTCTTACAAAGATATTTTTTGCTTGGCTGAAAATAACCTTCACCAAGCACCAAGACCTGCTTGCATTAAGGAGATGGGGCCGGCAGTCTGGGCAGGTGTGTGGGAGTGGAGCAGGCCAAGGGTGGGCTCAGGAGCTGCCCGGCTGCACAGGGCCTGTCCAGGCAGGGCCCCCCCCAGCTCCTCTCCCCACAGAAACCCAGAAAAGCCCGGGGCTGCTGCTGGAAGGGAGGGAGGAGCAAGCCTGTGGTATGTCATTGGTTAAGAAGAGGCCATGCTGGGTGGGGCGGCCCTAGTCCAATGGGACTGGTGTCCTGATAAGAGGCAGATGCAGGGAGAAGGTGGCCACATGACGATGAAGGTGACATGGGAGTGGCGTGGCGTGGAGTCGGGGTCATCCGCAGCAGCGGAGGGAGAAGCCTGGAGTACACCACCTGACGTCTGTCTCCGTCTTCAGGCCCAGCACCCTGGGAGGACTCTGCTGCGTGTGAGCTGCCCAGTTTGTGGCACTCTGCCCCGGCACACACCCAGGGCTTCTCCTCCTCCTTGGGCCAGCCCGGGTGTTTCCCAGCCTCTGGCTGTGCCCCTGGGTGACTAACTGGCGTCCCCCATGTTTCTTGTGGCACTTTTGTTGGTACTGAAAATACCTGCTGGCAGGTCCTGTGGCCTCTCTGAGCTGCAGTCTCTTCATCTGTGACGTGCACTGTGAGCTTGCAGGTGTTTAGGGGGTTAAGGACATGGTGGGAGGAGGGGCTTCGTCCTGCACCTGTGGCTGATCCCAGGGAGGTTGCTGCCCTTGGGCATCGTCATCAAGAGGCCAATCAGCTGAGTCCCAGGATGTCCTGGGTTCCCTGCTGGTGACAGCTGCCTCTGAAATCTGGGGCTGGGAAGAGAGAGACAGGTACAGAAAACAGGCCAGGGTGGCAGCAAAGCCTCCTGGGAGCCCCTGGTGGGAGGGGGAGGGTTCTCCCTTTGGGGGGCTGCCAGCCTTGGTCCCTCTGGGCAGGTGGCTCTGGGGTGACCAGGACGATGCTAGGAGGAGCAGCTTCAGTGGCCGTGTGCACCCGTGGATCCCCCCCTCTGCTGCCCCAGCCCCGTCCTCTGGGTCTCACTCTGCACATGGAGACGGGAATTCAGAGTCCCCCTGCCAAAGGGGACAGGATCGGCCGGTGGCTCACATCTGGCGTGGGTGTGGGTGAGGATCCCTGGGAGCTCTGGAAATGTGCAGGTTTCTGGGCCCAGCTCTGCAGTCGAGTCCGGGGGGCTGCGTGGGCCCAGGAAGCCACCCGTGACCCACCCTCTTGCCACTCTTCCATCCCCTCGATGCCCCCCTCCTCCTCCCAGCCCGAAGTGGCTTTTCAGTGCAACCTTGTCCCTGGCAATGGCAGCCGGGGTCCCTGGGGATGGGGACCACCAGCCCCACCTGCAGGCTGAATGGCTTCCTCTCTCTCCGGCCTTGGAGTAGGGGACCCAGGGGACCATCAGGAGCTGGGCTGGCGGCCAGCTGCCACAGCGGAGCCTCTGCCTGGGGTGTGGGTTCCCAGGAGCCTGGGTTCTGAGGTCAGCATGGGGCGGGGGTGGGGCCCCTCTCCCATATGCCCAAGCCGCCTGGCCACAGTCTTACTCCAGGAAGGAAGAGGTCAACTCCATGTCACCCTAGGACGGGTGGGCAGGCCCAATGCTTGAGAAGTGACAGGTAACTCAGAACTTCAGGGGGTCCTCTGGGTTTCTCTCCTTCAGAGTCAACCAACCACAGGCCAAAAATATTTGGAAAATCGTGTGTGGGGTGCAGCTCAGTGGTGGAGCGTGTGCCGGCGTGTGTGAGGCCCCGGGTTCGTCCCCAGCGCTGCAAAAATGAAAGTGGACAAGAAATTTGCACCTGTGTCGAATGCTACAAGCCCTTCCTACCTCATCCCCTACAATGCAGCACAGCAACTGTTACACAGATGCACCGATGCTGAGCCGTGGGGGGGATTCCGAGTCCACGGGAGATTGTTATGAAATGAGCCCCACGCCACTTTACGTGAGGGATTTGAGCATCCTCGGTTTGGGTATCCACAGGGTCTTGGAACCAGTCCCCGGGGGACACCAAAGGAGGGTTGTTCTTCACCTCGGGCAGCTTGGGTGGCCCGTGGGGCAAAGCGGGTGAGCCCCGGGAGGCCCGTTCGCTCCTGCCCCACTCCCAGGGCCTCTCCCCAGTTTCTACCCTGGGAAAGGAGACCATGGGGCTCTGCCTGTCCACAGTGGGGCCCTGCCCTCGGCCTTATCCACACAAATCTGAGTGAAGAAGAGGAGGAAGCCACTCCCTCCTCAGTGGCCCACCTGCCACATAGCAGGGGACCCAGTGTGTGCTTGAAGTTCAGGTGAAGAAGGCGCTGAGTGTCCAAGGCTATGCAGGCCACCCTGCGGCAGGTGTTGGGACCCTCAGCCCCTCCTCCACACAAGGCACACCTGGGCCCAAGAGGCACCGTTGACAGCTCCCGGTGGGCGCTTCTGGTGCCTGCCTGTTGGAGACTTGAGTCCCCTTTACACCCTGCGCTGTGTGTGGCGGCTTCACGGTGACGCCCTTCAGTCGTCCAGGACTGTCCCCAAGGCAGCCCTATGTTAGCCTGGAGGGCAGCTCAGCACTGCAGGCCCGTGAGGCCAGTCCGAGCTCCAGCCAGAGTCCTGGACATGTGGACTGCAGGCAGAGGGACCCCTAGAATGAAAACTGAACCCAGGTGGCCCTCAGCCTCAGGGCCTCCTGGGTAGCTGGACCATGGAGAGACCACAGATCCACAGCTGAGCAGCTAGTGGCCCTGCAGCCCCAGGGCTGAACTGTGCAGAGAGCAGATCGAGGAACGCACTGCCAACCCAGAAGGGCTGGAAAGGTGGTCAGCCCAGGGGATGCAGGGGTGGTGAAGTTCTGCCCTCTGAGCCAGCAGGGACTGGGTTCAAATCCAGCCACTGTTGCTCCAACTTTGTGCCCATGAGAAGAAAAGCAGCTGCCAGTGCTTGATCTGATCTGGGGTGACAGTCCCTGCCCCACCAGTCCTCCCGAGGGGTCAACTAAACAGTGCACTTAGTGAGCAGCCTGGCGTGGCCAGAAGTTTGTCCTTCCAAGGTCCAGCGCCCTTCCCTGTGAACCCCATATAGCTGCAGCTCTGTCCACATGGCCAAAGTCAGTGGTGGGCTGCCCAGGGGCGTACAGTGACCACAACCTACCAGAGTAGATGCTCTGTGTGTCAGTAAATTAAATTCAGCAAATAAAGATGATCTAAAGAGGGGCTGGGGTACTGGCTCAGCGGTGGAGTGCTCACCTAGCACGGGCGAGGCCCTGGGTTCGATCTAAGCACGACAAAAATAAATTTAAAAAATAAAGATATTAAAAAGAAAAGAGGATCTAAAGATTAGCACTTCACGGTGCTGGCCATGTCCCAGGTCCCCTTCTTGGGTCAGAGCAGAGTTATCAGAGCACGTTCTCCTGAGCGACCTGCCTTAAATTTTTAGCCTTTTGAAGACCTTCACAGAGGTGGACGAGGCCCTAATTAAGAGTCCTGGGGTGGGAGCAGGAGGAAGCCCGCCAACACCCCCTGCCCACACCCCCTGCCTGTGGCTCATTGCCGAGTCCGCCTCATCCCCAGGCAGGGCCTCGTCCCAGGCAGGGCCTTCTGGCTTTGCTGATTAGACCTGGGGTAGCATCTGCTCCAAGCAGGACAAATGAGATGCTGTCCCCTGTAGTCTTAGGAACAGGCCAGCAGGAGACGGAGGGGGGACAAGACTGGTGTGCACTGCGAGGAGCAGCGGGTGAGCCCTCGTGGACTTGCTGGGCTGCCAAGCCAGGCAGGCTGCACTGGGGACATGCCAAGAGGACCCAGCCAGTGGGGACCGTGGGTCCCTGAGAGTGGGGTCCCTGGAGAGGAGCAGGTGACTGCTCGCGGGCAGGAGTCCTGGCTCTTCACGCTGCATCTGCAGGTGGCCTTGTTCCTCGGTCCCCTGGGGGCTGGCGTGTGCCCGCTGCTGCCTGTCGGGCCAGCCTGAGTGGGCTCCGCTCGCTGGCTCCCTGCCTGATGCATCTTCCTGCCCCCACCCCCCGTGGGGGCCGGAGAGTTCACTCACTGCTGTGAACCCAGAGGAGCTCCGGCCACCCACCTGAGCCCCCCCCCCACACCTTACACAGGAGTGACGACAGTCCCAGATCAGTGCCACGCATGCTCGGTGAACCTAACACCAGTTACGACCGTCTGCAGGTCCTGCAGGTGAGTGAGGAACGCCCAGGCTGTGCAGGGGGTGAAGAGCTGGTAGAAAGACCCTCTTGGAAGAGCAGGGAAGCTGGAGAGGACAGGGAACAAGTGCACACCAGCGCCCGGGACAAGGTGCCCAGGTCACCTCTCCAGCCTGCCCGTCCCCTTGCCCTTGGAAAGAAGGGAGGAGAAGCCAGTCATGGTCCTCTGACTCTGTTCAAGAAAAGGGTGTGCTGCGGCCACCGGTAGTTGATTCAGCAGCCAGGCTCCCGGCCCCTCCCTGCGGCCAGGGCACGGTCACAGGACGGGAGAGCAAGGCTGGCCTCCTGCTCTCAGCCGCAGCAGGCCTTCCAGAGTCCACTTCTTCTCCATGGAGCCCTTTTCCTCCTGCCCCTCACTGTGTCCCTGGCCCCTCTGGGCTGTGGGGCTTCTCAGACCTCCCGGTGGGCCTGTGGGTCCGGGTTCACAGAGGTCCCCTCTGGAAGGCTGGCCTCGGTGGTGGTGGCTGGAGGAGGTCACAGGAGGGGATCCCTCTGCTACCATCAGTCAGATGCACGCCTGTTGAGAGCCAAGGTCTCAAATATTAACATGCCCTGTATTTGAGGCAGGAGGGCAGCGATTTTACCAAGTTTTAAATTTCAAAACAGTGAAGCAGCTAAAAGAGGCTGTAACAACCTATGGTCCTCAAGCACCCTTCACTGTAAGCTTGGTCGAATCCATTAACAACTTGAACATGACGCCAGCAGATTGGGCTAATATGTGTAAAGCTGTGCTAAATGGAGGACAATACCTGTTATGGAAGGTTGCCAATGAGGAATTTTGCAAGGAGACGGCTAGGCGAAATGCAGCAGCTGGTTATCCTCAGAGAAATCTAGATATGTTGTTAGGAAAGGGACCTTATGAGGATCAGCAGCAACAAATTGCATATGATCCTGGCGTATACGCACAAATTGCTGCAGATGCAATTAAGGCATGGAAGACTTTACAAGGACATGGAGGTTTACAAGGTCAATTATCTAAGGTAATACAAGGAGCTAATGAACCTTATGCTGAATTTGTAGATAGGCTTATTCAAACAGCTACCAGAGTTTTTGGGAATACAGAACAAGCAATGCCATTACTAAAACACCTGGCTTATGAGCAAGCGAATCGTTGGTGCAGAGATATCATTAGACCATGGAAACATGAAGATTTAAACACATATATTAAATTATGTAGAGACATTAATGAACAAGAGCAAGTCGTGGCAGCTGCAGTAAAACAGGCTTTAGATGCCAGAGATATTAATGAACAAGGGCAAATTGTGGCAGCTGCAGTAAAACAGGCTTTAGATGCCAGGCCAAGAACATGCTACAATTGTGAACAAACAGGACATTTTAAAAGGAAATGCCCCATTGGAGGAGGGTTTAACAAAACTAGGTATCAAAGGAGTAGAATACCAGGTATTTGCCCACGATGCCGTAGAGGGAGACATTGGGCTAATGAATGCCGTTCTCAAACCACCATAGAGGGTACTCCATTATCAAAAAACGAACAAGGACCAGGTGTTTATCCACGATATCGTGGAGAAAGGCATTGGGCTCCATTGCCAAAAAATGGACAGGGGGGCCCAATGCTCCGGGGCCCAAAACCACAAATATACGGAGCACTGGAGGAACCCAGCAACCCCATCAGGGTAGTGCCCAGGACACATTGTCCATCAGATCCCTCATCAGACAAACCAGAGGGAGCGCAGGGTTGGACATCTGTGCCTCCGCCAGAGCAGTACTAACTCCAGAGATGGGAGTTCAAATCATTCCCACAGGGGTGAAAGGACCTCTTCCCAAAGGAACAGTAGGCTTATTATTGGGACGCAGCTCTTCTACTCTAAAAGGACTTATGATAAGTCCTGGGGTAATTGATCCCGATTATGAAGGTGAAATAAAAATTATAGCCAGTTCTCCAAAGGGTATATCAGTAATTTCACCAGGAGATAGAATAGCACAGTTACTAATAATACCCAGCCTACATGATAAATTTTCCAGTCGTACTGTAGAAAGAGGTTCCAAGGGATTAGGCTCCACAGGTGCAGATTGGGCTATGCTTTCTTTAAATTTAGATTCTCGCCCCATGCTAAAACTAAATATTCAAGGACATGAATTTAATGGGCTACTGGATACAGGTGCAGACCTTAGCATCATCTCTCGTCAAGAATGGCCAAAACATTGGCCATTATAACAAGCCACTCAAACGCTTCGAGGCCTAGGAGTGGCGACTAATCCCCATAGAAGTGCAATGGTATTAGATTGGAAGGATCCTGAAGGATGTGAAGGAACTATACAGCCATATGTATTGGATCATCTTCCCGTAAATTTATGGGGACGAGATGTCCTAGATCAATTAGGTTTGACATTAACAAATAACATCAACCAAAATGCACCCACTATTATGACTAGACAAGGTTTTAGGAAAGGAAAAAGATTAGAAAAACAAGAACAAGGTATAGCAGCACCAATACAAATAGATCAAGGAACAGACAGACATGGGTTGGATTTTCAGAAAGGGCCACTGAGACAATAAAAATTACTTGGAAATCAGAAAGACCAGTATGGGTTCCTCAGTGGCCCCTGACTAAAGAAAAGAT